TTAATAAAACCAAAGCTCATTAGGCCTGTTATAGGAAGCTGTCTTACATCATAGAATCATAAAATTATAGAATCACAGAATTGTAGAGTTGGAAGGGCCTCAAGGGTCATCTAGTCCAATGCCCTGCAATACAGGAACCTCAGCTAAAGCAGCCATGACAGATCACCATCCAACCCCTGCTTAAAAAGCTCCAAGGAAGGAGAGCCCACATAAACTAAGAGTAGTACATTGCAAAAGTATTAAGCAGTTTATCGGTGCTTTCAAATCAGTCAGGGAAATACTATTTTAAACACCTTCAAATAAATAACTAAAAAAAATGTGTAGAAGAACTGGGAAGGAAGCCTTGCAAACTCCAGGTCTTTTCACACACACTTTGAGATCCTGCCCTCGGAGGGTGAATGTGACCACCTCTGCTTTCTGCTTTCTTTTGTTTCCTGCATTGGGCACCACCTTTTTCGGAAGTGGGGCAGTGATATTCCATCTCTTTCTAAATAATTTAATCAATATGGAAATACAGTCAATTAAAAAATCACATTTCCCTTGCAGAAACACACTTTTTAGCTACCCCTCCTGTAAACATTTTGTCTACACTGCTGGAAGTCTATTATGACTTTTCTTTGTATTTTTTTGTAGCTCCAGAACGACTTTTCAGAAACTCTCTTCAGACATCCTCACTCCTGTGTGCAGCTGCTATCAGTGCTTGCCAGATAGCAGTTATTCATCAGTTTCACTTACCCCATCTTTCTGTAGCAATAGCTTTTGTTATCGGCAGATTTCTTTATTTTTATCTCTTCCCCCACATCCGTCCATCTTGTATGCACAGCAGTCTCTTTGATCTCTCCGATTTCCTTTGCTGGTGCAGGTATGTGGAAACGCCATCTGTGAAAATGTGTCACCTTCAGATCTGTCGACTACAATACTCTGTGTGTCTCGATGCCTCTAACATGTAGGGCATCAACAACGCTTGCCAGCATACGGCTGCCATTTTAATATGCTGCTCGTTTTGCCTTTTGGTATAACAGCAGCAGCAGCACAAATGCAATTGTCTCCTTTTCCTTTTAATTGCTTTCCGTGAATATTAATTAGGTCCTGAAGATGTAGATTGGTTGCTCTCGTTAGGGGAATCATCCATAACCAGAAAGCGTATAATTTGACACTTCAGTATCTTTAAAAATGAAATGCTGCCTGTTATCAAAATTGTTTGTTTCCTAGACATCTACAGTTTGACCACCACATGGAACACCAACATTTGCAGTAGCCATGAGAATAATGGCCTCTGCTGCTTTTACATCACAACCCTTTCCCCTAGCCCTGACATGCCCCTCCATTATTTCCTCTCAAAAGTAAAATTCCACGTCTCTGTTCTTTCATACCCCTTGACCTGGTCTAGTGGACTTGGGTCTCCATAGGGAATAGACTGTGAATGATGGATTGTACTACTTTAGAGAGAGTGTGTGTGGGGGATGGCACTTTTTGAATGATCCCTCCTGCAAGAACCCCCCTCCCAAAAAATCCACATCTGCTTTGCTACTTTTTAGGTATTGTTTTTCACAGGGAACCGAACTTTTAAAAATTTAATCACCTACGAATGGGCAACCTGAAGTGGTACAGTCCATTTTAAGCACTGCATGTGTGGTTACAGGGAACCAGCCAGAGGGCCTTCTTGGTAGTGGCACCCACCCTGTGGAACACCCTCCCATCAGATGTCAAGGAAATAAACAACTATCTGACTTTTAGAAGACATCTGAAGGCAGCCCTGTTTAGGGAAGTTTTTAATGTTTGATGTTGTATCATGTTTTTATTATTCTGTTGGGAGCTGCCCAGAGTGGCTGGGGAAACCCAGCCAGATGGGAGGGGTGTAAATAAATTATTATTATTATTATTATTATTATTATTATTAACCAATCTCTTTCCTTCTTTTCTGCTGGTCACTCCAGCCCCTGCTTGTATTTATGCCCCAAACCAGTTTCCTCCTGTAGCTCCCCTTCTCCCATGACCTCTGGTCAGTCATGTTGCTCCTGCTTATCAGGAGGTACAGGGAAAGCAGAGAAGTGGCAAGGAGGCTGGCATGGTGAAAACACACTGGCAGGGGCACCCTATGAGCTCTGCTGAGGCATTTGCATTGCACCAACTTTGCTGCCACCTCACCCCTCTCCCCAGTGGTATGACCAAACAGAGGTCATGTGAGCAGTGGCGCCCTATCATGTGATCCACTACTGTTCTTACGTTCTTTTTGTTCATAGCGGGGGGCAAACTGGATTTGAACTAGCCTGCCAAACCATTACCAGTGGCCTACCCACCCCCAGTAAAATTGGGTGCTGCTTCTTTCCGTCTTGGTTCTGAATGACAGTAGAATTTTAAACTTCTCCTCTCAGCCTCAGCTTCACATTGGTTGATTTGAAGTTTTTTTGAATTATGTTGGGAAGTTAGCAATCGATTAGAGAAGATAATCTCCTTGTTTTCTTACAACCATCTGAAAATTTGTTCCAGACTCCTTAACCATGGTCAAATCACTCCAACCGTCATTGTGACCCATCAAAACACTCTTTTTCAACATAACAATCATTTTACATAACACATTTTGAGGACATTGTGACCAGAATTGTGTCAGCAAATGTTAGCAAGCACCCATCACACTCACTCCAGTGGATGCCCAGGTATAATGGCAACTCAAGGAGCTTCCTAGAACCACTTTTCTTTGTTCATGGAAAGAGCTTTGCAAAATGTGGTGTCGAGAGTTTCCTTCAAAACTCGAAAATGATTTTCTATATCCATTTCAATTGGGGTTTATGCCCAATTTTGGCACAGAAATACCTTTGCATGATGACCTCTGTCGGGAGAGACCTGGGGGGATGTTTCTTTGTCCATTCTTCCCTGATCTCTCAGCAGCTTTTGATAGCATTGACCATGGTATCCTTCTGGAGCAGCTGTCTGAGTTAAGGAGTGGTAGCACCACTTTGTGGCGGCTCCATCCCTACTTGGATGGTCATTTCCCGAGGATATGTGCTTTTCAGCCCCATGAAGCCTTCAGTGTGGGGTTCCTACTTTTCCCCTCCAATACTTTGTATTATATGAAGATAGCTGCACTTCACCAATGGGCTCCTACCCTCCCTACACCTTTGCAATTCAGTCACACACACTATATATATATATACACACACACACACACACACACAAATATATTTCTACTACCGCTGCCATGACAGTGGCTTCAGTACCACTCACCACCCTCCAGTAGTGGTGAGCATACAGCAGTACTGCTTTAGACTAGAACCCAAGCTCAGCTTCCATCCGTGGTAGCAGCCCATCATTTAAATGTAATGCATGTAATGCTGCGGTGAACAGATCTTTGATTTAATAGTTTTTAAAAATCTAAAATAGCCATCTGTGCCCAGTGGGGAAGACAGTGATTTGTGCACTGTCGGGTCAGGATGCTGTGGGGACCTTGTCCAGTGCCTGACCTGGCCCAAGACTGGCATCAAACCTAGATACAATTGATGGGTGATTAGTGCCATTCAAAGGAAGACAGTATATGCCACCCAAATCCATAAAGTATGGCATAAAACTGTCTATGCCACAGTTCTAAAGTTGTCATATAGGCGTATATACGTGAAGGAAGCAGGCACTCCTGCAGCTTGAAATCTAGGTCAAGCAGTGGTTGAGAAGCTAATACATTTACTGGGTTCTGGATGAAAAATAACTCATAACTTCTTCAACAATATGCCACTGGCCTGGGGATTAGCCAACACTGGTTGGCACATTGAACATGAATAAACCAACAATCCTTCGTGGATTTAGTCCCATAAGCCCGGAAGTGTTAACAGCATTTTTGGTTTTAAAGAAGATTTCACACTTGTAAATTATGTGCCAGCAAAAGGAAGCACAGTGATTCTCCTTTCTTCAGTGCACAAGGGCGCATCTTTCTCGGACCAGAATTCCAAGCCTGAGCTCATTTCTTAGTAAGAAAGAGCTAAATAGGACCAAAAGGTGGCCAGTGGTATTTCCTGCCCTGCCACCCCTCAAATATGGTGGGCATTGCCTGCTGAAATATTTGTATTGCTGGGAAGTTGTATAAACTGTGACAGTGTGAATTTCCCTAAGGACACTGCTTTCTAATAACCCTAGGTCTAAAGCTGATCCAACCTGGTCTGAGTCTAGAAACATAGCTTATCTGAAATGTCATGAAAAGGGAAGGTTTAATGTCTGAAGTTGATATAATGCCAGACAATTGCAGAAACATATGTGCTTCTTGTAACCATTTTGTCTGTTTGGAAATGTTAATTGGTTTTAGACTGCTCAAGTGGCATGTGCTATTGTTGCAAGGTCTGTGAGATTTGTGATCCACAACTCATGCTTATTGTACCATTATACATGTGCATCGGTTATAACTCGGTTAATGATACCTCCCCCCCCCCCCAGTGTTGTGCAGTTTTTTTGGACTTTACATTGTGGGATATTGTTGGCTCTATTATTTGCAACAATATTATTCCACTGGGGGGAAAAGTCTCTATAAAGACATGATTTACCGTATTTCTCGCTCTATAGGACGCACCTTTTTCCCCTCCAAAAATTAAGGGGAAATGTGTGTGCGTCCTATAGAGCGAATGCAGGCTGCACGGCTAAGCCCAAAGCCAGAACAGGGTGACGGAGTGCTGCGCAGTGCTCCGTCTCGCTGTTTTAGTTTGCGGACGGCTGCGCAAAGCCTCCACCCCGCTACCCTGCGGAGGCTACGAAGGTGGGGGGAAGGCTGCAACGCTTCCCCCCCACCGCCAGCCCCACAAGCTTGGGGGGCAGCGGGAAGGCGGTGTGCCGCCTCTGTGCTGCTCCCCGACCTGGTTTTGAGGCTGGGGGGGGAGCAGCGCTTCCCCCCACCACCAGCCCCACAAGCTTGGGGGGCAGCGGGAAGGCAGAGCACCACCTTCTCGCTGCTCCCCAACCGGGTCTTTGGGGCTGGTGGTGGGGGAATGCAGTGCTTCCCCCCCGCCAGCCCCAAAGAGCAGGTCAAAAGGAACCCAAAGCCTCCGGAGCCCAACGGGAACTCCCGCTGGGCTCCGGAGGCTTCGGGTGAACGTACCTTGAATGCACAGAACACACCTTGTTTTAGAGGGGGAGAACAAGAATCCCCCCCCCCCGTTCTCCTCCTCCTATGGTCCAGTGCGTCCTATGGTCCGGTGTGTCCTATGGAGCGAAAAATACGGTATTACTTGCAGATTATGTTCTCCATAATCACTCCCACTAGATAGTTTATTTTCATGACTTCATTGGGGTACATTTGGGCCCAATACTGGATTGATACAGCCAATTTTGTATCAATGGAGACTGAAAGTCAGGCCTTTGGAATAACCTGCGGTGTGTCATAAAGTCATGCCACCATTGTCCTCCAGTTTACTTCATGCAAAATGCTCGTTGAGAGCTCAAAGCAATACTGGCAAATTAAGAGCTACCAACAAATGAATCATTCCACTGGTCTCTCATTCTTATTCAAAAAGCACAGTTATACAGTTCCCTTTCATATATTTTCTCTGTTTATACATTGTCCAAATATGTTTATCTGCAGTGTTGCTCCAAAGCAAATGTTGATTTGAACACTTTTCATGTTGAATGTACACAACATTCAGAGAACTCTTCCTTCCTAAAACTCTCAGGGGAAAAGTTTTTCTTCCTAGCCTTATGCTCACGGCAGTCTTTATGTATGATCAGTATGATGAATTAGAATCCAGCCGGTACACTTCTGTGAATCCTTTTCATTTGAATTCAGTGCTTTACACCTAATTTTCTTTTCCTGTTTGACCTGTTCAGGTGAACCATCTGTATCTTGCAAAGGCCATGCATAGCAAGAGAAATGAGACAATCAATTCCAAAAGAGAGAACATGGTTTGTTACAATGGGAAGTAATACTGGGCAATATGAGAGTCTCATATTCAGAATATCTCAAATCTCTCTCTCTCCCCCTCCCCCCCCCCCCCAGATCACAAGCCTGGATGTAGTCAGTGCAATGTAGTGGATAAAATGTTAAGTCACAACTTAGACCCAATCAACCTCCCTGTTCACCTGTGGAATTTGCAAGCAGGTGGGAGGCCCTCTGGTAGTGTCCCCACCAGTGGAAGGCCCCAAGGGTGGGGCTGAGCTAGTTTGAGATTCGCTGGACCTCAAGCTGGCCTTCATCCTGTTGAGTGATGGCATTAGGCCCTATAAAGGCCGATTGTCCTGCCTTCCACCTTCCTCTACAGCTGCTGTGAGAACCTGAGCTGCAGATGCAGCAGTAGGGATTATGATTGCAGCCGAATTGTGTGCATGCATTGAATGTGCTAGATTCCCCCCCCCCCAAGTAACTAGCATTTGCAGGAAGTGTGGCAGAGAAGGGATTCAACAACGAGTTAAATGGGGATTCAACAAGGAGTTAAATGAATGGAAATTCATTAACTTTGGAAGGGAACACACAGGGAAGGTAAATGATATTCAAGTACAGTGGACGCTCAGGTTGTGAACGTGATCCGTGTGGGATGCACGTTTGCATCCTGCAGTGTTAGCAACCCGCATCTGTGCACGTGCGGGTTGCAATTCGGCGTTTTCGCATGCGCAAAGTGCAATTTAGCGCTTCTGCGCATGCGCGACTGCTGAAACCCGGAAGTAACCCGTTCCGGTACTTCCGGGTTTTGGCAGTCCGCAACCCGAAAAAACGCAACCTGAAGCGGACACAACATGAGGTATGACTGTATTGTTGATGACTGAGACATGTGTGTCTGTTGTGTGCTAGGGAAAAGATATGTTTAAAATATGGATGTTCCCACATCATTGGACAGCAAAACAGAATGAAGACTTTTGCAAAGTAAACTAATTCCAGCAGAATGGAATGCCAGGTGAAAGTGTGAATTAGAATAGATTGAGGCACGTTCCTAGATGTTTAGTATAAGCACGCCGATTCAACAGGCATAGTGGAAACAATGTTCTCAGTTATGGCGAGAACAATTTTGTTAACAAAAGCAAATATTTTGTTTTTGATATATTTTTGATATATATAATAAATTTTATACAACGCTTACTGGAACAGAATTCCTCTAAGAGGGTTTACAAGGGAGCCGAAAATATTAATTTAAAATACCAATAAAAAAGAAATATTAAAAGCAAGTTACATAAATAAAATGAAATCAGTAATCTTAAACATATCTATTTCTGTTCAACAGAATTTATAGTGCCCAATCCTAAACCTGTATATATGAAGTTAGTTAATAAACTCATTTGAAACCAGATTCTATACCACATATTAGCAACAACTTCATTTTCTCTGATGAAGAGCTCTGCATAATCTTAGCCAAGAAGATTTGCTCCAGTAAAAAACATGGCACCGTATATTTAGTCTCTGTATACTCTGGGGTCAAAAAAGCAACAAAAGTCTCTTTCTCATACTAGGGGGCAAGCAGCATAAGCTTTTCATTTTATTAAAAGGAAATAAAGATTATCCAGGTACATTTCCGATAGTAGCAATCTCTGCCTCATATCTCGTAACTGTATCTCTGCAGATAGAGAAAGACAGTTCGGCACACATAAATTTGTTGGCATTCCTGTCCAACATGCTTTTTAAGAGCTGAACATAGGCTTACATTTGCTTTAAAGCTACCTGGCCAATCGTTCAGACACATACTGAGTAAAACAACTTGACACTTCTTTCTTCCTCTCGCTTCTGTGTACCTTAATAAGCACATGTAATGTGGAAGAGGAAGACAGACCCTCCAAGTATCCCTATTTTCCAGGGACTTCCCTGATTTAGAGAAGCCGTCCCAGTTTCTGATTTGATGTCCCACTTTTCCTTAGGATGTCCCTATTTTCACTGGAGAAATGTTGAGGGTTTGGAGTTATCTGACCCCCAAGCCATCTTAAGGCAATAATGTATAGGGAAGTTTTTCTGATGTTTAATGTTGTATTATGTTTTTATATGTATTGGAAGCTGTCCGGAGTGGCTGGGGCAACCCGGTAAGATATGTCAGGTATAAATAGTAAAATTCTCATTATGGAATGGGACATCCCAATTTTCATCAGAGAAATGTTGGAAGGTGTGGGAAGAGAAGGGGAAAAAGATCCCCCTCATATGTCTATATATGATCCTATGGCGCTCTTGATCGTTTTCTTGCAAACTGCTTAGAGGTTTTATTGCAATCAAGCTGTATACAGTGGTACCTTGGGTTACATACGCCTCAGGTTACATACGCTTCAAATTACAGATTCCGCTAACCCAGAAGTAGTGCTTCAGGTTAAGAACTTTGCTTCAGGATAAGAACAGAAATCAGGCTCTGGCGGCGCGGTGGCAGCAGGAGGCCCCATTAGCTAAAGTGGTGCTTCAGAACAGTTTCAGGTTAAGAACGGAGCTCTGGAACGAATTAAGTACTTAACCCGAGGTACCACTGTATAAATGTTGTGAAATGAAAGAAGTTAATAAAAAAAATGGCCACTAGGTGCGATCATCACATACATTTTCATACATTCCAGTTTCAACTTTGCTAGCATTTGCCAGAGCCAACAACAGGGATCCTTTGTGCTTTCTGGGTTTTGAGATGCAACTGTACTATGGAACTAAATCCTACTGATTCCACTGGACCTTAGGCCCATTTCAGACACTACCACTGTGGTGTAATAGGTGTCCAAAATCTGTTTTCTGTGTGGTTTGATCCTTTGTTGTCTGTCTCAGTGACTTCATTGATCATGTGCAGTTGCGCTGATGACATCATGACCAGACAGCCAGCTCCACTGGTACTGGGGGGAATTTCTGATCATCAAACCTCACATGACTTGTTACAGAGATTCCAGAGTTGAGGAAAGTAATTGTTTTAGTGAGTAGCACACTGCCTAAGGCCCAATGAAATTACGGGGATTCAGTTCTGCATTCATAGCTAGAACTCAGAACTCTAGCTTTGCATTCAACTCAGTTCTGTTGGCACCTGTCTGTCTTGAGAGACAATGGGGTATGCCTCTGGGGATGAAGTCAAACTGCTGGAGAATCACAGGGCCTGCTGTGGCAGCAGAGACCAGTACCTGCTGCCTCCCAGTGTTTTTGCTGCATTAGTAGCACCAAAGTGATCTCTCCAGGGCACAGGGCTGGGCAGTGTGTTTGGAGGTCCTGCACTGCCCAGACAACAAGACCCCCTTTTTGGCCTCACTGCTGTCATCCAGAGGAAACCAGAGCAATACATTTGGCACCAGCTGGGCTGTAGGAGTTGCCAGAAGTGGGCGTAAAAGGCGCCATCCAACTGTTTTAGGGATTCCACTGTGGATTTGTGTATGCTTTACTCCTTAGCCTTTTGTTCTTATGAAGATGTCCTACAAAGCAGAGTAGATCCATTGAAATTATTGGACCTAAGCTACCTACATGTGTTAATGCCAGTGGGTCTACTCTGAGTATGACTTGTGGTAGATACAATCCAAGGTTGTCAGATCTGGCAAATGTTGGCTTTAGCAATGTTGAAGCTGGATTATCCAAGTGCGGGCATAAGAAGGATGTTGTCATTGGCACAATTCCAGATCAGACCTTCATGTGCAAGTGAGCCAACATGGAAGACATTTTTGGGCAGCAGCCATCCAACCTTGAAAGTGCATACAATGGTCACCTAATTCACATCATGTGTGCAATGCCAAAGTGTTTAGTAGTTGCACTTTCTAACCAAATCTCTATTCTAGATTTGTTTTTATGTGTTTATTTTCCAGCTATAGAAAGTTTTTTAATGTAACAACCCGAGTCAATTATATCACAGATGCTCTAGCAGAAACTCTAATGCCAAACCATAAACTAAGATATTTTCCAGTAACAGCAGCATCTGTCTGCTTAGCAGCTCAGGTAGTTCGGCAGCCGGCTCTGCCTGTGCGATTAAGCTGGCTGGCACTCGGCTGCTGCTGCCTTTTCTCCTTCATGGCTCCTCATGGATTTACTGTCTTAATGAAGTGAGGAAATGCACTATGGCAGAAGACCTCCATTATCTAAACCCCGCGTTTTACTGTAGGTCTCCTGTGTCGCCTGGGACACTGTAACTCACTCGTACGGATACTACCTGCTCATCTGATTATCCAAATATTTTGAATGACCCT